AAGGCAAACTCCACAAGCAGATATTCGATAGTGCTTAAGTTGATTAGTGGTGTATCGACGGCACTTGCCCAATTTGCGTCGCTTACCGAATTTGGGTCAATCACGCTACAAAGTGTTTTCTGTTAGTTTTAGATTTAGTTTGACATTAATTTGAGTTAAATAGAGTTTGCACAGAAGTTCAAGTGTATTACAGAGAATTAAACATTTATTTTTAGAAAGCGACTTGCCGTAATCTCCAAACACATTACAATTTAGGCCCCACTCACACATACACTACGAGTGAAAAGTTTGGACACACTTTTAATTTATTTTTCTTTTTTATTTCCATGATTATTCACATTGAGTCTCACTGAAGACATTAAAACGATGAATGGACACTAAGGATGTAACAATATCCAAATCTCTCGGTACGATATTATCACGATATGCATCTCACGGTACGATATTTATTGCGATATTTTGAAGATCCTGATATAATTGTAGATTTGGACACTTTTTTGCTTTTAAAAGACCTTGACGAGACTGTGGAGTGAATTATTTCTATCATAATCCTAAGAATTCAAGTAAAAAACATATTTCTTTACGTTGTCTGCACTGAAATGAATCATGGGATATGTAGTTTCCAATGTTCATAAGCTGTTGCTACTCTAAAACCATGCATTTAAGTAAAGGAACTTGTAATTCGATATATTACGCCAGCCCACGATATTATTGTGAGACTTTTGACGATGCGATATCACAATATTTTGGTTATTGGTACATCCCTAATGCACAAATATCGGATGTTAGGGATGGGCATTCGATGAAATTTTCTTAATCGATCGTCGGAAGAATTAACGATCGATTATCGATTAATCATTAACGTTTTTATATTAAAATGATCATCATTATTATTACCATCTGCACTACTAATCTGCATAAATAAATTCAACTTTACCACATATAAACCGTAACGACTCTAGAGCCACATCTATCCGTTTGACATTATAATGTGTTTAATTCAGTTTTGCACAACTCTCACAGAAACAAAACTTAAAACCGCATTACTCATGTGCATAAACTCAGCGAAGATAAAAATACAGCTCTTGTGTCGCTGATGTGGTCAATTTCTGTCAGATTAAAAGACATGACTCAGTAGAATACAGGTTAGTGTGACCATATTTGCGTTTGTCAAAACCAGGACACCGTATGGGGGGAGGGAGGTGGGGACTCGTCATCCACATTGAGCGACTCTCACCTGGTAAAGCTTTTTCCCACTGGACACCGAAACATATGTGCTGCTTTATACACTGTGCACATGGACTCACACTTGTCCCGAACGCAACAGAAAGCGTGGAATTTCTTGTACAAATCATCGTTAAATACACATTTGTGCTTCGGTACGCTGCAGACTGACCTACTGTTTGTGTCTCGCTCCTTCTGAGTGCAGAGACACATGTACGGACCCCTGTTTGGTCACACTACGCACAGCAACCTACATTCGGTTTGTCGATTAAAATTAACGTAATCGATGACATTCTTAATGATCAATTATCAATTAATCGATTAATTATGCCCATCCCTATCGGATGTAACAAAAACTAAACTCAAAACTTAGATTGAAAAAGTTAAAATAGCTAATAAATTTTGGTTTGAACCCTGGTTTGCACTTTTGGCATTTCTTGACCCTGATGAGGCACAGTGAAGTGAAAACCATTTCAGGTAAGGTCGCGCAATTAATACCAGTTTGATCATGATTTGTGTGTCAAACGAACTCCAAACTCATATAATAGAGGTGAAATGATTGTTACGCCGGTGAAAGTGAGGACCGGGACATGACGACCGTAGTTTTGTGAGGATTCACGTGGTGCCCCCCACAAGCTCTTTGTGCCCTACGTGCTGTGAATAATGTCCATAATGGGAGCTATGGTACTGATTACATCTATAAACTCATGGAGGAGCATATTGCCGCAAGACTCAGATCTGTCTCACTATTTGATAGATTTTTTCTGCTGCTGGACATATTTCTCTGCTAAAAGCTTTAGCTCTGCTGCCACATAAACAAACAGCGCTGTGTGCTGACGTCATCGGCCGTGGCTCGGTTTGGTTGTGCAGGTCTGAGTGCAGAACATAAAACCCAAAGCAATCGTGCTTGAGTCCCAGTGTGAGTGCGCCCTAAAGCTTAACAAAGTTTATTTTGGGAGATTTTTATATCAATAAGTATATTTATTTTATTTTTAAACATAGAGATTGTAGAACAGCTGGATATATCATGTTCAAAGTATATTTTATTCATTTTGTTTTATACATTGCAAAGCTGCTCTAACGTGCATAGTTGTAGCCCAGGGGTGACCAGTCTTTTTCCTCCGGTGAGCTACTTTTACAAAATGAAAACACCAAAGAGCTCCTCCTCATTTTACCGGTCACAAGAAACTGAGTAAATCTAAGAGCCACGGCCTTAGATTGGGTACACTTAGATGTTTATACGTTTATTTAGTGATTAAAATTATACATTTACAGCAGTAATAGCTTTTTAATCAATCCAATTTTAGTTATTCAGCACATTTTGTATAATTAAGAAATCTCTTGGTGAGCTACTTGGAAGAGGGTTGCAGGTTGGAGACCCCTGATGTAGTCTATATTAACTTTCAATTTGAAAGTTTTGCATAAATTCTCAATAACAAAGTGGTGTTTTTTTGAGAGATAACTTTTGAATAAATGCATCATGTATTAAAAAAAATGTTGTTTGAATAATCGTGATTTCAGTATTGACCAAAATAACTATGATAATGATTTTTTACCATGATCGAGAAGCCCTAATTTCAGGAGACTTTATCAAGAAGCTCATTAAGAGAAGGCCAAGGGGTCGCAGTGCTGTCCACAAAGCAAAACATGGATAATATGAGGATTTGAATGTAAAATCTACAAAATATTGAGTTAACATTTTTTCTTTGTGGGTATATAAAATGTAGAAAGTAGTAAACAAAAACAAAAAAAAACACTGAATGAGAAGTTGTGTCCAAACTTTTGACCGGTAGTCGCTGTAGTTCCCATTAATCTAACTTTTTATAACTCAAGTGTAGCGCTACCTAAACTTTAATATGTCCCCTTTAACAATACAGCCACTCGATCTGCAATATAAAGAAAGTCTCTGCTACTTCACAGCACATTTTAATATAGAAGCTCTGATCACACCTCCAGGTAAAGGTCATTCCCTTTCATTAGACAGTTACACAATACTCTGGGTAGTAGTTTGCCTGTCTGTACTGAGCTAACACAGCGCAACCCGGACCTGCACGGCCATATGCTGCTGCTATATAAAGTACACTGTGTGCTTAGTGCCATCGCTTCTGGAGAGGGACAAAGATAACCCCGGAACACACCGTCCAATAAGATAAGACCGGATCCAGATAGAGGCTGCTGGTACACTTTGAGAACGGTGAAGTGTGTTGGAAAACTTGAGAGTATATTTTCAAACTTGTTCTTGTTTTGTTGCTGTCAGCCAATCACAGCCTGCTTCTCTTTTTTTTTTTTTTTTTGTCTGTAAACCAATCAGCTTTCGAGTCCACAACAGAAGTTTTGCATGCGACGGTTGATAATGTCTATAACAAATCCACTACGACTATGTTCTCCCTTCTGAGGTAATTTTCTACGAGCCTGATTCATCAGCCGGTTTCACTTCGTGGAAACCGTCTGACCTCGCAGCATTGGGATTCATTTGCTCGACGGTAGGCGGGTACTTTTTTATTTAACCAATCACTGCTATTTGGTCGTGACGTATGTAATGTGCCAAATCCCGTAGGAAGAAGGGCAATAACGTCTTTCTCCTTGATAAAATTCACCAAACATTCTCTTTATTTCAGCTTTAAATCCTCGATCTCGGGAATCGTCACCAACACAGAATGTCTGTCTTCATCTACATCCATCTTGACAGTTTGTTTACTGTTGTGCTGTTCCACAAAAGGGACCCGGACAGACGCTTGAGTTTGACGTCATGGCTTCACAGCTCTTCGATGATTGGCCAGTGTGCGGTCTACAACTTCCAGAGTTCTAGCAAATCATCTACTGTATTCCAATTCCTGACCTAGATGCTGGAGCAAAATTAAATTGAGTGGAGCGCCAGCCTGGCTAATTTTCTGCTAGTTAGATAAAAAAAGTAGTTGTTTGGAATAAATTATCTTAAGACATTTTTAGGCTTGTCGTAGGGGATAATTTGCCAGATATGTAGATATCCATAAATAAGAAAAAGAACAATAAAAATGCTTCAGGTTGCATTTACACTGAAATCAATCATCATATCAGAAACATTTGTGGTGTTTTTGTGTCCGCAAGCCTTCCCTATTCACACAGCTTTGCGCGTACTTGTTTACGTTTTACAGAAACGAAACTTAAAACCGCATGGCTAATTTGCATAAACTAACAGCTTGCTCCTTGTGCAGGGTCAGCTTCTGTTGGACTTTAAAAGGAATATGTGTTCTTTCTGTGACAGAGGGGTGTTCTCTTAACCATGTCTGAAGTTTGAGCAGCTGATTTCGAGCTGAGGAAAATGGCAAGCATGAAAACAGTCTTTTCGTGGACCGTGTACCAGCAAGTAGTTCTAGCTACGTAGTTTCCCGTTTGTCTCTGGTTTGTTTAAACTGTTTAACGCAATAGCGGCTCATAACCAATGTCACAAACCCAGCGAATCAGGAAGGCACAAGTTACAGTGACATGGTCCAATAAGGACGCAACTAGAGCTCCTACGTCAGCGTATCAGCATTTCCAGGTGTCCACACAGTGCCGGATCAGATCTGTACTCAGATGAATTCGTGGGAGGTGGCGGCACCAGATCATTCTGTCTCTGGAGCCGTTTTCCATCAGATTAATGTGGACGAACACTATATCCACAACGAAAACGACTCAAATACATACTAGTGTGGATGGGGCCTCAGACTAACTACTTAATGATAAATTTTTTGACAAATACAGTAAGTGCATGTAGTTTTAACATCAAATGTCAGCTGATGTAGGATTAGCCTTACTGTGCCCAGGTGACGGTGGGTTCAGGGAAGCCGTCGGCATCACAGGCGAGCATAGCAGTGCTCAACTCTCCTGCTGTGGCGTTCACCTCAGACTGACGAGGACGGATGCTGGGCAGGACTGGAAAGATACAAGAAACACAAGAAGAAATCATATTAGCTTGACCTCATGGGTTAAACACAAACAAATGAAAAAAGAAAGAATTTAGTGTATAAGGTCTAGTATTGTAGAGGTCACTGTGATTGTAAAGGACATAGAGCATGATCACCTTTTTAAAACTTATCTCTGTACAGTATTGGCAATGCCCCAAGAGAACGTAAACCTTGTCAACATTAATTTATATTACACTTTAAGAAGTTCAGGGTTGCAGACAGGATTGTCCATTATCCCCACTTCTTTTATTGCCTTCCTTCCAAGGCTTTAAATTATTAGTATACAGTATGAAAAGTGGTCTGTGTGTATGTGAGTGTTGGTGGTCATCGTATGGGGTCGATGGTGCAGAATGGCAGCCTTGTTTCTGTCAGTCTGCCCAGGGCAACTGGGCTATAATAGTAGCTTACCACCTCTGAGTGTGGAGTAAATGAATAATGATCTGTAAAGCGTCTCTGAGTGTCCAGAAAAGTGCTATATAAAACTTATGCATTATTATTGTTATTATTATGATTATTATTATTATGCTTTTCTCAAATACATGGAAAAATCACGGGGGATATGAGGCTTTTAATGCTATGAATCAGAACTACTTTAAAAAAAACTTTATTATTTCACTACCTTAAATGTATAGACATAACTTGCATATGTTTCAAAAATCATATCCAATTTGGTTATTGCACAAATGTATGTGAACCAGAATCTAATCACAATCCATATCACCAGTTCTATTTATCTAATCTTCTATTTACCGTATTTTCCACACTATAGGGCACACTTTAAGGCCTTTAATTTAATTCAAAAAAATGATTATTATTATTATTATTATTATTTATTGGGGTGTCTTAGTACGACTTTAGTAAACTACAAAGCCGCACCATTTGCAGCGTTATGGCTCCAGTAGTCAGGAGCATCGTGGAGTAATACATACTGTGATTCCTTTTAATATCAAAATTCCACCTGTCAAGAGACACGCTTACAACGCCCACTTTAAACTCAAGGCTATAAGTCACGCAGTAAAACATGGGAATAGAGCAGCTGCGAGAGAATTCAACATCTGCCAACGGATCGTGGACGCCCGGGTTAAGGGATCAGTATCAACTGTGGTCCGAGCTTTCACCAAGACCAGAATCATCACTGAACTGCCAGGGAACAGTAACCACACTGACTCGGATAATGACGAGAGGGATGAGGGTGTGCTGGACGCCGTACTCGCCCAACTGTTTAATCTTTACAAACTGTAACGAGAAGTAATGGGAAGAAAGAGCTTTTTATTTTTTTTTTAAACCAACAGATGTCTAATTCTGGGAACCTGGGGCATGGGGGAATGTCAAAACAGTGAACTTTCGAACTCTGTCATCAATGTCCCATAAAAAAAAATACACACAACCATGGTCTGTACAGTTTCACAGTTTCAAAATTCAATAAAACTTCAATTTTCCTTCAATTGACCCACACTGATAAATCGAAAATCCATCTCAATAGGTACGATAACATTTTAAAATATTTTCATTCTTGTGTATTTTGGCCAAGTTTAGAAAAAGTCATCGCATTTCAGGATAAAAGAATGACACATGGGGTATTTTTACTACTGATGAATGTCAAAACGGGTCAAATTTGTCCCGAATAGAAGGTAAGGGTTAAATGGGACACTGAAGATGAAGAATTCGAGGGATTTGTGGACGAGGAATGAACTGAAAAAGTGAGTGTAATGTGTTATTTTTAGGTATAACTGAACAACTATGAGTTATTGTGAATACGTGAACAATTTAGCTTTTCAGACAGTATTTTTTTTTACGTGTTAAAATTGAACAAAGTTGAGAGTTATTGTGAATGTGTTTGACTGACTCATCTAACTTGTGTTTCGTTTAATGCGCCTTATAGTCCGGTGCGGTTTATATGTGAAAAAAGTTCGAAAATAGACCGTTGATTGAGTGCGCCTTATAATCCAGAGCGCCCTATAGTGTGGAAAATACGGTATTTATTTACTTTGGTATAAACTGTACACTTGAAATACATTGTGTGGGTGCTTTGACATTGTACAGTTGTCTTTGTGTCCATTGTCCGTGTGGAGACAGATTCAGGGCTTACCGTTGATGACCACTTTGATGGGCCTGAAGTCGAGCTCCCCTCTGGCGATGACCCGGGCCTCGCAGCTGTACATGCCCTCGTCCGCCTTCTTTATGCCGCGGATCAGCAGGTGTCCATTGTCCAGTACTTTGAATCTCACTGAAATGTGGAAAACAGAGCAAACGCAAAGTCAATAAAAGGAAAAAAAAAAAACCATTGTAAATTTAGATTTTTTCACCAAAAAGTAACACAAAAGTTTAAATTTGTGACAAAAAGTTGAGAACTATGCTGTATTGATCCACACCAACATTTAACCTATAAAACTTATAAGAAAATGAGCTTTTCTAAAGCTGTACATAATCCTAAAAATACATACAGTACATGTGAATACTAGCGAAGGGTTTGTGAGAGCGAGAAAATATAAATTTAAATGTGCACTGTGCAACTTTTCTGGTGGAGGGCATGACATTAAACACTAGCATTTAGTCTTTACGGATGTTTCTATTGCTTAAAAATACAATAATTCCTGCCTAGGGGTGATTCTCCACAGATCTGACTTGTAATGTATTGCAGTGCTGTAACCTGCTTGTCTTCCTTGTGATAGATTTACTGTGGAACATTCTAGACAAAGCAAAAACATTTCCATGGAGATAAGAAAGTGTCGAATCTTTGTATCATTCGTTCATTCGCTTTTCAAAAAACCAAAACCAAAAATAAGAAAACAATTTTCTTCATTATTTGTCTCCAAAACCAAAATGAAAAAATGGATAATTATTGTTTTTTTCAGTTTTTGATTTTGTGTTTAAATGAAGAATGGAAAAAAATAAAAAATGGATAACAGCCGTTTCACATTTCCGTGACTTAAACTGCAATGCTGGACTTTTGCGCCACATATGGACTGAACCAGGACTAAACCAGGTCTAAACCAGGACTAAACCAGGACTAAACCAGGACTCTCCTGGTCTCGGTCCTGGTCTCAGTCTCAGTCCTGGTCTGGTCCCGGTCTCAGTCCTAGTCTGATTCCGGTCTCAGTCCTGGTCTGGTTCTGGTCTCAGTCCTCATCTGGTCCCCGTCTGGTCCCGGTCTCAGTCCTGGTCTTGTCCTGGTCTAAGCCCTAGTCTCAGTCCAAGTCTCAGTCCCTGTCTCAGTCCTGTTCTCAGTCCCGGTACTGGTCCCGGTCTCAGTCCTGATCACCCAACAGTCTACGCAGGCACACCTCCGGGCCCGTCCTGACACTCAGTCCTGTTTTAGTCCTGGTTCAGTCCTGGTTCAGTCCTGGGATCAGTCCTGGTTTAGTCCTGTTTTAGTCTTGGTTCAGTCGAGTTCAACACTAAATCAAAAACTGAATAAACAAATCATTACCCATTTTTTCATTTTGGTTTTGAAGACAATGAAGAAAACAGTTGTTTTTTTTTCTTATTTTTGGTTTTACTTTGAAAAACTAATGAACGACTTGTGGTGGACCTCTCCACAACAAATGTTACACAGTGCACCTTTAATAAATGTTTAGGTCCTTCTTTCCTAATTTAAAAATTAGGCACCCAAACTTTAATTAAGCTTGTATTGATTTTTTATTTATGCATTTTTTGTGTTACTGCAAGACAGTTCCATAATAATACAAGCTCCAGTCCCGAGGGGTCAGCAAAGACTAAGAAGCTAAATATTTTCCATTCACTTTACTCTATAAATCTCCCATATTTTCCGCTATATTTTCAGTTCAGTTCAGCAGATAATTGTTGGCCTAGCTGTCAACAGATGTTATTTTTCTTGCCATATGTATTTTCAAATTCCTACGCTTTAAAAGTTCCTTGAAACTGTTGGAATCCTTCTCGCTGACAAGTGCATCAGTGAATACTCGAGTGTAGAAAACTTTATCTGTGGACTTTTATATTGCTTCCATATGTCATTTAAACTATCTCACCGAAATGAAATATTCAGAGCGCGGAGTTGTGCGTTTAAGAATTCTCCGCATTGTTATCGCGCCATTTGGAAAAAGGCTTCCTCGTGCTTTCACACTATTTTTATCGAACCACGCGGCGTATGGTTAGGTGTTGGTCTGAGGACGTAAGTAAGCCAAAAGTGTTTGTGTTACAATTAGTGGTTTTTGGAGTGAAAAGTGCATTCTGGATTGTTTTCATTTGCGGTTGGGTGACACACACAGAGGTCGTGCTGAGGTGAAGGCTGTGTGAAAGCTTTATCTCGACACAGACAGGCAGAGACGAGACCACAGGCGAAAAGAGAAAGCTGGTTTGAAGTGAAACGAGGGCCTATACTGTTGGATTTCAGATGACGCAATGGCATTTTGTACGTCTATAACATTTAGTCTTGTTTACTTTTTAACGAAATCTGAATCATTATCATTAGGGGTGTGCAAAAATATCAAGATATCAATATATTGTATCGCTTAGTGTGATGATACAGTATCAATATATCGCAAAGAGTATTTTTTGGTGTATTTTACTAAATTATTTTGTTACAGCGCAACAGTTTTGCTGCTTGTTCAGAGGAAGGAAACTCATTTATGCGACACATTTACCATTTTCACAGTTTTTATGATTAAATGTTTGTGTTTCATATTAACTTTTGCACAAGAAGTGGTTTAACAGACTTTTAATATCACAGCCATGATTTAGCCTTTATTTTTACTGAACCGTATCAAAATTTGGCCTACTGAAAAGTTTTTAAAATGCTTTATAAATAAAGTTGGTATGGCATGGCATGGAATCAATTTGAAACTATCATATTGAACCAAAAGTGCACTGTATCAAGATATGTATCGTATCATGGCCTAAGTATCGAGGTTTGTATTGTATCGGCAACTTCTTAATGATACTCAGCCCTAATTATCTTAAATCGCAGTATCTTATGAGCCTGATTCATCAGGCTCACGCAGGCGTCACTTTGTGGAAACCGTCTGACCTCACAGCAATAGGATTTGTTCGCTCGACGGTAGGTGGGTACTTTTTTAATTTAACCAATCACTGCTATTTGGTCGTGACGTATGTAATGCACCAAATCCCGTAGGAAGAAGGGCAATAACGTCTTTCCCCTTGATAAAATTCACCAAACATTATCTTTGTTCCAGCTTTAATCCTCGATCTCGGGAATCATTGCCAACACCGAATGTATGTTTTCGTCTACATTCATCTCGACCGCTTTGTTACTGTTTACTGATGTGTTGTACCACAAAAGGGACCCAGACAGGTGTTGAGTTTGACGTCATGGCTTTACTGCTCTTCACTGATTGGCCGGTGCGCAGCCAATCTTCCAAACTTCCAGGGTTTTTGCGAACGGTGTATTGTATTCTGATTCCTGACCTAGTCGTTGGAGAGAAATGAAATTGAGCGGAGGAACTAGGTGGCGCCAACCTGGCTAGTATCTTACAGTCTTCAAATTCAAGAGTTCATTTGCAATAACCAGATATTTGTAAAAAAAATTTAGTAAAGGATCATGGTCTATGTAGTTCCCTCTGTTTTTTTTTGTTTTTTTTTAGCTATTTCTGCACCATAACTCTTAATTTAAGCAAAGACACTTGTAATTCGATATATTGTAATGGTCCATGATAATATTATGAGAACTTTGACGATACGATATCACGATATTTCCGTTATTGTTACATTCGAGTACAAATATATCGCACAAGCAGCTCTTCAGGTCAAAATAAGTCCACTGTGTACTGCGTGTGTTTAATTATAAAGCATTTTCTTGCCTGATAAGTGCTTATAAAGTCATTGTGGTGAATAATTAGGACGCTCTTTGTGCACAGCTACTTCTTTTTTCGGTTTTTAGGACAGTAAAAATTAAGTACAGCACCTTTTAACTCCATTTAGACAGTGTTAAACTGAAATTAAAAAAACTGAAGAAACAAAACTCTAGCATAATTTCTCATTTGAGTGTGATATTTTAATCAAGTAACCTTCAAAAAGTTAATTGTTGGAATATATTCTGGTGTTCATGATTTTCTAGAAGGCATTGCTTTGCTTTATAATGAGAATCCAGCTCTAAAGGTTTGGCTGATAAATTAACTTTAAACAGATTCGGACAGGAGAAGATAGGCCTGGACAAATTAACTTTTATAATTGGATCGCAGCCTTTGAAATCTCTACACTACACGGGTCATTTTCGGCAGAGGACATTTATTTGTGAAGCATAATTGGTACATAATGTAATACGTTTCTGTGCATTTGGTTTAGACACTACATTTTTTATTCCAGCAGTGTTGTTTTTATGGGAGAAAGTGCTGAGGTTGATGATTTTCTGTGGCTGTTAAAGGAAAAATGTGTGACTTTGGGGTTTTCAAGTATCTATATGCAGATACTAATTGATACGAAAACCAGTATTCGAACTAGATACTCGTTTGAGCAGGTATCAAAACTAAAAAAGTCTCATTCACAGGACAGAAATGAAGCTTTCCTGAAGTTTTAGAATGATCTTGAGTTGTATCAGAAAACGTATAAGAGCACAGAGACTAGAATCTGAGTCGGCAACCCGCGGCTCTCGTGGCTCTTTCATCTTTGTGTTGTGGCTCCCTGTGATTTTGGAAAATAAATCATGAATACAGTCATCTTTCGCATTCTCGCCGTTTCGCAGATTTTATTTTTTTTACAGAGTATGAATGCGTACTGCGTAATACGGGCGGGTAGTAACTACGCACGGGTGGGCCAGGACTAAACCAGGTCTAAACCAGGACTAATCTTGGATTTAAGACAGAGAACCTTGAGCAGAGTGTCTGCAAAGAGCGATCGGGCAATTGCCGTGCTTAAATCTGTGAGGTGCGGAGCTCGTCGTCGGTCTGTTCTCCTGCGGTCAACTCCGAGCCCATCCCGACAGTGAGTCCTGGTTTAGTCCTAGTTCAGTCCTGGTTTAGTCCTCCTTTTCAGTCCTGGAATCAGTCCTGAGTTAGTTCTGGTTTAGTCCTGTTTTACTGCTGTTTTAATCCTTTTTTAGTCCTAGTTCAGTCCTGGTTTAGACCTCCTCTTCAGTCCTGGTTTAGTCTTGGTTCAGTTCGTGATGTATGCAGTGCAAAAGTTTGATATATATACATATATATGTGTATATATTTATATATAATTATATATAATTATATATAATCAGGTTATGTGCGATGTTGTACTGCGTGCGATGTTGTACTGTGCGGGTGTGGGTCTCCAAAAAATGGACCCGTGCGCTGTGAGGCTCCATTACGGAATAAATGAATCTTCTGTTCGTTACATAAATAAGGAGGAAAATAACAAAAGTCGACAGCAGCAATAAGTTTTAAGAAGGATGCAAAAAGGGTTGTAACTGTCCTGTCTGAGAAGAGTGTATAAAGTGTGCTGAGGGGTTTTACAACAGATGTAATAATTGTAAAATATACTATACTACTTCCTGGATTTCACCTGTTGCGGGTTATTTTAAAACGTAACACCCGTGATAAACGAGGGACCACTGTACTTAATTAAAATGTATTTTTATTTTAGTTTGTTCATTTTTAAATGAAATTCCAAATGAGTAGGTAATCGTAATTGTGTAACATTAAAATAAAATGGTTTTAATATTTTTGTTGCTCAAAATATGCGTCACAGGTACCAATGTGCGACACCTGGCACAGATTTGGCAGCCCAGAATTACCGGCACCTACATCAGCAGCATGAGTCAGGCAGGTAAATGATGGATAAATCGAAGAAAAGAAACGTTTCTGCAGAAAACAGAACATTTAATGGTACATGGGCAGATTCGTTTGGTTTCATGGATGATGAAACTGGTTTACAAGAGATAAAATGATGCCGGAACACAAAAGCAGAAGATGCTTGGTTCGCTGCGGTTGGATAATTTATGTTTGGATTTTGGAGGACCTGGAGTATTTCTTTTGAAAGTACACATCAACCAAGTGCCTTTTTTTCGGAGCTCAAAATGTTTTTGTTACATGCAGAACCCTTAAGACCCAATTTTATCCTCTGGCTTTTAACACGGCGTGAGTTGTGTGGTCCTCTGTGTCTTTTATTTATTTTTAATGTGTTTTATTGACTTTATTTATTTATTGCTGTTCTATGAATTTGCTCTTATTTTATTTGATTGGTTTTATTATTTTAAGACTAGTATGATTATTTTAGTAGTTTATTTTATCTTTTTTTTATTATTGTCATTATTATAGTGTATTTGTGCAGCAATTTGGAAACTGTTTGTGAAATGTGCTATAGAAATAAAGTGGATTGGAAATAAAATTCTGTGTTCTCTGTAGATTTTCATTGATTTCATAAATTCCACACTCTGTAGCAGTGGTGCCCAATATGTCAGTCGCGATCTACCAGTCGATCTCCAAGCTCGTGTGGGGAGATCGCAGTGTCGGACTCGATCGCGTTTGGACTCGGCCTAGTCTCTCACTCCAGGTCTGACATTTGACAAGTGTGATCATATTTCATTATGGCGGCAATAAACTTGTACCGGTGTGCGGGGCTGTGCGGGGCGTCTCTCTGTAGCCTGTGCGTTAATTTGAACCCGTGGATAATGTGCGGCACATCACAAACACACATATTCCCTACGCGTGCCTTGTCCGCAACAGCGTGTGTCTTCGTGTGTCTTCGTGTGTCCTCGTGTGTCCTCGTGTGTCCTCGTGTGTCTTCGTGTGTCTTCGTGTGTCCTCGTGTGTCCTCGTGTGTCTTCGTGTGTCCTCGTGTGTCTTCGTGTGTCTTCGTGTGTCCTCGTGTGTCTTCGTGTGTCTTCGTGTGTCCTCGTGTGTCTTCGTGTGTCCTCGTGTGTCTTCGTGTGTCTCTCGTGTGTCTTCGTGTGTCCTCGTGTGTCTTCGTGTGTCTTCGTGTGTCCTCGTGTGTCTTCGTGTGTCTTCGTGTGTCCTCGTGTGTCCTCGTGTGTCTTCGTGTGTCTTCGTGTGTCTTCGTGTGTCTCGTGTGTCTTCGTGTGTCCTCGTGTGTCCTCGTGTGTCTTCGTGTGTCCTCGTGTGTCCTCGTGTGTCCTCGTGTGTCTTCGTGTGTCCTCGTGTGTCTTCGTGTGTCTTCGTGTGTCCTCGTGTGTCCTCGTGTGTCTTCGTGTGTCCTCGTGTGTCTTCGTGTGTCTTCGTGTGTCCTCGTGTGTCTTCGTGTGTCCTCGTGTGTCTTCGTGTGTCTTCGTGTGTCCTCGTGTGTCTTCGTGTGTCCTCGTGTGTCCTCGTGTACCAGCGTGTATCACAGGAGAGGTTCAACTTTTTCAAACATCTTGTCTGTTCATCTACGTCACGTCAGCGCGCCGCTCCTCACCTTTTCACTCTCTCTCTTCTCCCCGTGTACAGCACACAGACTCCTCCTCAATGCGCTGATTAGAACAAGACGAAATGCGAAGCAAAAACTAATCTAAATGTATGTTGCAGTGTTGGCACAGAGGAGCCTACAGCACAGAACAGAACTACTGCGACATGTGGCTGAAGTTTGCCTAATAAAAGTTCACATATGCATCTGTGTTTGTCACGATGTGCATTTGGGTTGATAATGTGCAGAGGTAAATACCACTGCAGAAGCAGTAAGAGAATGTAACTGCAGTTAGACACTTGGAAAAAAAAACAGGTTTAAAAATCCTTCCCACTTCACTTTTTTCACAGTTTTGTGTAAAGTGTCAGTGGAAGTTCTCTTAAAGAAGACCTTCTCAAACTGTGGCTAAGGGTCCAAAAAAGAGGAGCAGAGTGTTCCAGTGCAGAACAGTTTGCTTGTATTAGGTAGATCATCTTGACTTGGTCAGTTTATAAGTGGCTCGCATGCCCTGCTCTGTAGTCTTTTATACATAGCATACAGGTAAAATCTAAATAGATAGACAGATATAGATAGACATAGATATATTTAGATGACAAAATGTGTTTTTTGTGGCTCCGGGTGTTTTCTTTTCTGTGTGAGATGGTCCTAATGGCTCTGTGAGTATTTAAGGTTGCCGACCCCTGGACTAGATGGACCACGATGGAACCTGCCTGAACAACAGGGATTACACAGACACAAGACCACATGGAAATATGAAAGAAAGTAGCATAATTTATTGTTCTTTGTTCTATTTTGTAAAAGAGTGTTTTTTTAATCATCACCGTGGTATTGAGCTTCAAAATGCTTTCTTCGTGTGGAAATTTATTATTTATTTATTTTTTATTTTATTTTATTTTTTACACATATATAACATAACAATAAAAAGAAACACACTAAATCAGGGGTGTCAAACTCAAATTCACTGAGGGCCCAAATTAAACCCTGGGCCAAACTAAATATTTACTGAACAATTTCAACAACATCTGCATGTTTTCTCTTCTTTTGAGATATGTAATGTTAAACCTTTTCTTATTAAAATAAAGGTTTAATAATAGTTTTGCTTAAACATTGAATCCAGAACAAGCAGATATAAAATTATAGCTAAATGTATATGAATAATGTCTCTATCGTCGATCTGCAGCCTGTGGGCAGCTCTCATACATATTTCATATGATCTCGCAGGCCAAATAAAATTATATCGCGAGCCAAAGTTGGCCCCTGGGCTTGAGTTTGACATGTCTGCACTAAATAAAAAAATAGGTGCCAGAAGAGGCAAAAAAACAAAAAGGGCTCATATTAAAGCCTCCACCTTATGAATACACAAAAAATTGAACATTATCGTTCTGCATAAAAATATATAGACAGATACATTGAAACATCGTGAATTGAATGAATATTAAACATTTCCTCAAACTCTTTTTAAACGTTTCTGAGAATGAAAATGACGATTTTGATGAGTATTGTATCTATGAATCTCTACATTGGTTCAGTCTTGAGTCTCACCTGAGTCTAGTTGGATAAAGAAGTGACAATTTAGGATATGGGTTAAATATTGCGTGTTTAGTTTTGTCTAGTGGCGTATTCAAAACAGTAGGGAGGTAAATTGAGTTCCGGGGATGGACCGGTGGAAACAGGAGGCCGCACATGAACAGTACTCCAGTTCAGCTCACCGTCTTTGGCGCTCTTGATGACATTGAACTTGTACTTCCACACGATTTCAGCAGGGGGCGAACTGGCCACATCGCACACCAGGTCGGCGTCGTCTCCTTCGTTGAACTCTTGTGGGCTCGGGGCGTTCTTGAAGGTGATCTTTTCTGCAGAAGACGAAGCACAAATCGGTTACTGACTACAAACACTCTTATGCAACAAATAATACTCCCTACAACTGTACAACAACTCGACCTTATGTAACAGATAATACTCCCTACAACTGTACAACAACTCACCTTTATGTAACAGATAATACTCCCTACAACTGTACAACAACTCACCCTTATGTAACAGACAATACTCCCTACAACTGTACAACAACTCACCTTTATGTAACAGATAATACTCCCTACAACTGTACAACAACTCACCCTTATGTAACAGACAATACTCCCTACAACTGTACAACAACTCACCTTTATGTAACAGATAATACTCCCTACAACTGTACAACAACTCACCCTTATGTAAGAGATAATACTCCCTACAACTCTGCAACAACTCACCCTTATGTAAGAGATAATACTCCCTACAACTGTACAACAACTCACCCTTATGTAACAGATAATACTCCCTGTTTAGAGTTTACTTACTGTTATGTTTACTTTTTTTATTATTACCATTTTTTTTGACTCTTTGTTTTTATATTATGTTGTGATGTGTGAGCTGCTGCGTCAAAATTCCCTTGTGGATCAATAAAGTTTGTGTAAGTCTAAATCTAAGTATAGAGCAAGTTACAGGTCGGATCTGTGGGGACGCAACCCCACTCACAGTCAGAATGCCTGTTTCTCTAGGTATTTTTGAGCTCTAAAACCACCTGTAATTGAATAAATGTAAAGTAGTAGACCTGCTTAATGTCAAACTGTGGAACATTTCAAGCAGAGCAATGACATCTTTATATTAACAAGTTGGTGCTGGACAAACACTCCAGAAAAGTTACACAATGCACTTTTAAAGAAGACATATGTTTTTTTCAGGTAGTAAGCATTAAACTACAGCATACATAGATTGTTATTTTACATTTTGTTCATTAATAATATTGAATATTGATCTAAAACATAATAATTGTTCAAAACTATTCAAAATAACAGACCCCACCGCTTCCATGTATTTGAGCAAAATACCGCATTTTTTGGATTATAAGACGCAATATCAATAATGTTGAATTCTCTCATCTATTTTCATACATAAATCACACCAGATTATAAGGAGCATTAAGTGAAACAAACGGACGACACTTGAGGCTGATCCTTTAGCCCAGGCGTCCATGATCCATCGGCAGATCGTGACGTAACTCGCCCGGTGTTTCCTCCCTGTCTTGGTGAATGTGGATTATGAACGTGAATGTGGGCAGATCATTGTTTTTCTTATTTCCTACGAGGACAACTCAAATGTACATTGAGTAATAATGTGTTTCATGCAGCTTTGCGCACATTTGTTTACATTTTACAGAAACAAAACTTAAAACCATATGGTTAATTTGCATAAACTATAAAAACTGATTTGTAAAAACTGCTCACTGCTTCTTGTGCGCTGATGCGGTTCAGCTTCTGACGGACTTCGCGAGGCTCCTGACTACAGTAGCCGCAATGCTCCGACAATCCATCAAGAGGCGCGGCTTCGTAGTTTACCAAAGTCATACTAAAACATTTTGACAGATTTCTGAGCGCCATGTACTACATAAAATGGGTTCAAGGTCAGTAAACACAACCAGAATTAATACATAAGGTGCACTGTCAATTTTTGAGAAAATTTTAGGATTTTAAGTGCGCCTTATAGTCTGAAATATACAGTATTGTATAAGCAGCTCTTGAGCTTAAAATAATTGAGGTTTGTACTGTCTATATCTAATCAGAAAGCACTTTATTGAATGCTAGTTATTGTTCACATTACTGTAACAGGAGACTCCACTCTGACCTCTGAATTTTTCGCTTATAAACTCACCGCTGTAAATAATTTGGATGCCCAGAACGCAATGCAGGTAAGCGAGGAATAACTTTGACTCACTGCAAACCATTTAAAATTACTAGTTCTGTTTTTCATTTCAATTTTGTAAAGAGTTTCGAGCCACAACGAAGGTCACGCAGCATTCAGCGTGTATTTATTAATTTCTTTAGAATATCCAAACCGTCACTGGAATTTATTTAAACACATTTTTGCTCGAGTTCATGTGAGCCTTGCAAATAAGTGAATTACGTCAAAAATACCATTGGCCTTTATTAACGACCGCTTCAATGCTGTGTTAGAACGATCAAATTATTTTTCATTCACACGCTGGGCCGACATTCTAGTCTGAGCTATTTAAATCACCGAGAGTCAAATGTACTGTGTATGTAACACCAAAAGAAAACACAATACTGGACTTTATTATTCATTTATATCATTGTCTGGCTGGTTCTGCTTCTGGCTCGTATATGTTTAGTCCTGGTTTAGTTCTTGTTCAGTCTTAGTGTGGTTGTGGTTCATTCCTGGTTCAGTCCTGGTTTAGATGTGGTTTAGTCCTAGTTTAGTCCTGTTTTAGTTTGGGTTTAGTTCTGGTTTAGTCCTGGTTTAGTCCTGGTGTAGTTCTTGTTCAATCCTGGTTTAGTCCTGGTTCAGTTCTGGTTTAATCCAGGTTTAGTTTGGGTTTAGTCCTGGTTTAGTCCTCATTTAGTCCAAGTTTAGCCCTGGTTTAGTCCTCATTTAGTCCTGGTTTAGTCCTGGTTTAGTCCTGGCTTAGTCTTGGTTTAGTCCTGGTTCAGACCTGGTTCAGACCTGGTTTAGTCCTGGTTTAATCCTGGTTCAGGCCTGGTTCAGACCTGGTTTAGTCCTGGTTTAGTCCTGGTTTAGTCCTGGTTCAGTCCTGGTTCAGACCTGGTTTAGTCCTGGTTCAGTCCTGGTTCAGTACTGGTTTAGTCCTGGTTCAGTTCTGGTTCAGTACTGGTTTAGTCCTGGTTCAGTCCTGGTTTAGTCCTGGTTCAGTCCTGGTTCAGTCCTGGTTCAGTCCTGGTTCAGACCTGGTTTAGTCCTGGTTCAGTCCTGGTTCAGTACTGGTTTAGTCCTGGTTCAGTCTTGGTTTAGCTCTGGTTTAGTCCTGGTTCAGTCCTGGTTTAGTCCTGGTTCAGTCCGGGTTCAGACCTGTTTTACTCGAGCTAAACAAGTCCAGACTGAACACAAACTGAACTGAGTCACTTACGGAAGATCTTGACTTGCACGGTGGCCTCGGCCTCCTGCCCCGGGGCCTTGGCCATGCACTTGTAGATTCCGGCGTTTTCCATCTTGGCGTGGTAGATGGTGAGCGTGGACGTGACCTCATCGTTCCTGCTCACGAAGATGTTTGGGTTGTCTGGAACGATCTTCTCTCCCTGAGGATTGAACCAGTCGATGTCTTTAGCGTCTCCCACCACTGTGAAAAACACAAACAAATCAATTAATAAAATGTTTTAGAAAGAAACATACTTACTTAAACCACTCATATGACACAATTTTATGATCTGTAATAATGTTATTTCTTCATAAAAAAACATAGCTGGAGTTGAGTTTTGTTTTATTCACACATGTTTAACACACAAAACCTGCATATTTAGGTTGAGTTTTTGCCTCAAACTGAAAATGCGCTGTTCCACCTTGTGATGTTATTTCCATCCATCCATTTTCTTCCACTTATCTGGGGCCGGGTCATGGGGGCAGCAGTCTAAGCAGGGCCTCGCAGACTTCCTTCAGCGCTGACACTTCTTCCAGCTTTTTCGGGGGGAGTCTGAGGTGTTCCTAGACCAGCTGAAAGACATAGTCCCTCCAGCGAGTCTTGGATCTCCCCTGGGGCCTTTTCCCGGTGGGACATGCCCGGAACACCTCTTGAGGAAAACGCCCAGGAGGCATCCGGAATAGATGCCCGAGCCACCTCAGCTGGCTGCTCTCGACGTAGAGGAGCAGCGGCTCTACTCTGAGCTCCTCCGGTGTGACTGAGCTCCTCACCCTATCTCTAAGGGAACACCCAGACAGGAATCTCATCTCGAGCGCTTGTATCCACGATCCTGTCCTTTTGAGGGTAGGAATGTAGACTGAATGGTAAATCGAGAGCTTCGCCTTTCGACTCAGCTCCCTCTTCACCACAACAGTTCGATACAGCGACCACATCACTGCCGACGCTGCGCTGATCCACCTGCCAATCTCCCTCACTCGTGACCAAGAGCCTGAGATACTTGAACTCCTCCACTTGAGGCAGAGACTTCACCCACCCGGGGAGGGCAAGCCACCTTTTTCCGGTCGAGAACCATGGCCTCGGACTTGGAGGAGCTGATCTTCATCCCAGCAGCTTCACACTCGGCTGCAAACTGCCCCAGTGCACATTGCTGGTCCTGGATTGATGAAGCCAACAGGACAACATCATCTACCAACAGCAGAGATGAAATCCTATGGTCCCCAAACTGAACCTCCTCCGGCCCCTGACTGCACCTAGAAATTCTGTCCATAAAACAATGAACAGAACTGGTGACAAAGGGCAGCCCTGGTGGAGTCCAACATGCACCGGGAACAGGTCGTGTGTGTGTCATGTGATACAAGAAATGCTCCACTGTGTTTTTAAACTCCATGTACCTTCACTAGAATTATTTGGATGATTTCAGCTCAGGTATTGACAGTTTTTACTGACCTAAAGGTAAAATGTAGCTGTTAACTTGAAAACCACAGCTTCGTGACATCACAAGTTGGAACATTTTGAGCTTTGGAGATGTAGATAAACAGATAATTAAGTGTTACTCTAATGTGTGTGAATGAAACAAAACACAAGTCCAGGTTTGTTTTTGAGGAGATAACAGCATTTTGACACAGATTAAAGCTCACAAGAGTCAATTTTGTGTAATTATAGGATGTTTAAAAGAACTTATTGTTCACTCAATTCAAAGTACCTCCTTCCAGGTGCTAGTCTACACCTAACTGTCCATGCACCACCGGTTGGTAAACACTGGCGTAGGGTGCAGTGAGTAAATCACATTACATCATTGTGCGAGTTCAAAATGAAGAGATAGGAATAAATTGGTTCCATGGCAGCAGCTGGATGCCAAATTCTTCTGAAAATCCACTTTCACAGTTTTGCAGGGAAATTATGCTCTGGGAGATTTGTGTGCGGTGTAATTAAATTGGATATCTTTCTCATTTTGTGGTGCATTGATTGAAGCTGCATTACTGTGGAATGGGAGAGATCCATGATATTTTGAAGGAGAGTGAATGCAAAAGGAGAGAGACACTGAGTTCGGAATTCTATAGGGATAATGTTAAGCCTTGATGTTCCAGTTTGGGGATAAAAGTGTTAAAGTTATACAAAAAAGTACTGAGTATTCTTAAGCACAATTGGACAGGGATGTGATTTGTCTTGCCCCAGTACGGATAAATTGCATAAGCAGCTCTTGAGGAATAACTTTGAACCAATTTGGCGAAGTTCTAGTTCTGTTTTTCTACGGAAGCCAAGAGGGGTCACAGCAAACAACAAAAAGCCACAACACACCAAAAAAGCCACAATGGAAATGACCGCAGGACTCTATTTTAATGCAAATGCCGCAACAAATACAAATGCCACAACACAAACGCAAATGCCGCAACACATTAAAAAGCCACAACACATTAAAAAGCCACAACGGAAGTGACTCTTGTTTTCCGACGGACTGATCAAGCGGCAAGTGAAGAAGAAGAACTACAAAGTGAAAAGTAAAGGAACGGAGAAGTTGGAAACGTAAGTAAAAGTAATTTATTGTTTTATCATTATTCGTTTCAGGTTGTAGTTCTTCTTCTTCACTTGCGGCTTGATCGGTCCGTCGGAAAACAAGAGTCCCGCGGTCACTTCCGTTGGGTGTTGTTTTTAAATGTGTTGCGGCATTTGCGTTTGTGTTGTGGCGTTTGTATTTGTGTTGTGGCGTTTGTATTTGTTGAGGCGTTTGTATTAAAATAGAGTCCCGCGGTCATTTCCGTTGTGGCTTTTTTTGGTTCGTTGTGTTTTTTTGTTGTGTTGTCGCATTTGTATTTGTTGCGGCATCTGCGTTTGTTGTGACCCCTCTCGGCTTTCGTAGAAAAACTGAACTAGAGCTTCTTTTTTCACAAATAAATTGCACCGGACTCTAAACGAAACACAACAGTTCGATGGCTCAGTCGGTCTTTGTTTGTGGCGTTCACGGTGACTCTGGGCTTTGTTCAGTTGTGGCGTGTAGGGAGGGTGCTGTCTGGGATCGTTGGATTGTCGGCGTGTTCGCAGTGACTCAGTTGTTCAGTTGTGTCTAGAAGTGGAACATTGCACTCGCTTTTTCCGGTTCGTTATTCCGTTCCGTTCCTCGTCGGCGTGGAGTGATGAGTGTGTCTGTGGGTGTTTTTCTGTGCGGTCGCTGTCTGCTCCGTGTGTGTTTGTGTGTTCTGCGGGTGGTGCGGCTTTGTAGTTTACTGAAGTCGTGCTGGGACACCCAAGTGGATTCATGTATAGGGCGCTCTGGATTACGGGGTGCGCGGTCATTTTTTGATGGGGTTAGAGGCTTAAGAGTGCGCCTGATAGCCCAGAAAACACGGTAATAGATTAGTTTTGCGTGTTTTGTGCGGTTTTAGTTAGTTTAGTTTTACCTCTGCAAATACAAGGACTGGATGGGATATTTTAAAAAGTGTCTCCACACATCTCCAACACTCTGGCTCACTAGGAAATGAGGTCCTATGTCCAAAATTCTGGACTGTCCCTTTAAGACGTAAAACTGAACTTGTGTTACCACTCACGTGTAACCTGCAGAGTAATTACACAGGCCTGGCCTCATGTGAAAGCACAGAACCTCCAGAAATCCCTCTGGCTGCACGAGCACTGATTCATAACTAGTGCCGGTGTTTGGGTTTAAAATACCGTGATATTGTATCGTCAGAAGTCTCACGATAATATGGAGAGCTGTCACAGTATATCCAATAATAATTTCCTTTGATTAAATGCATCGTTCTTTAGTAGGAACAGCTTATAAACATCGGGAACTACATATCCCATGATTCGTTTCAGCACAGACAACATGAAGAAATATGTTTTTTACTTGAATTCTTGAGCTTCCGACAGTAAAGCATCCTATCTATAATTATATTTGCCACTCCAAAATATCGCAATAAATATCGTACCTTAAGATGCATATCGAGATAATATCATACCAAGAAATTTGGATATCGTGACATCCCTACTTTTGTAATTAAGAAGGAATCAGAACCAGAATTGTTATCAGAAAGAGTGACATTTGATTTGGACATATTTACTTCATATCAGGGGACACAGTTTGGTCTTGTTTATAATATTTAACATAAAAATCTTACATATAGTTCCTTTAACAGACACTTTCATTACTCTTACTTGATTATTTAGAAGTAACTTAAATACCAACTATAAATTGTGTTGCTAGTATTAGTTATAATAGTAGTACAGTAGTAACTTTTGACTACAACTGTCACCTCAGCATGGATTTCTGACGATAGTAGCGTGATCTACAATTCCAATATTTTCAAAGAGAATGTTTTACCTTCACAGATGAAGAACTTGGAGTCTCCCAGGCTGATCTCGCCCTGTGCTGGGATGATCTGCACCTGCAGGGCCGCTGTAAAGACAGAAACAGAACATACGTGAGTCCAGGAGGAAGGAGGCCGAAGGGGGAACAAGCACACAGCTACAGCTACATCCAATCGCCTCCTCCGACCAAACGTGCAACAATCTCCCCGGAAACTCTCTACAAACCAAAGCTCGGCGCTCGGTACAAGGAGAAGTGCAGCACGGTGAGCATATGTCGAGAAATAAGGCAGGAAATTCAACCAAACTGTGCTAGAAAACTGCACTGATACTTTGCAGCAACATCACACTAGGGCGGACACAGCATGTATGTCTGTGGAGGAATGTTCAGCAGTTTCCATGGTGACGCAATCCACACATTAGCAAACAGCCTGATAACAACTGATGACTGAGGGATTACACAGACAGCCTGGTAAGTTTTTCGACTGCCTGAAAAAATGAAAAACAAAATGGATTTAAACAACAGCTCTTCAGAAGCCTGTGATCAATACAAAATTCATGGTCCTGGCTTGGTCCCTGGTTTTTAACGAAAAAGTGAAAGTGAATACTGTGTATATAAGTTGCACTTTATTCATGGTTTGGGTGTTTCCTGCGACTTATGTTAAAATTTTCACGCTGACGGCCTCAAGAGGGCGCTCTAGTCTTGTGTGTCAGTATCTGCTCATCCTGTTCCTCCTGTACCACTGTCGCTTCACTCTACTGCGCATGTCTCCTGCAGAAAGAGCCGCTGTCCTGTCTGTATCACGTCAGTTGATCGCACCATTACTTCTGTACTACTGAAAATTTAAACAAACTTATAAAGATGAGTGAGAAGACTGAACACAAATGCCCCGAAAAAGAAAATCTGATTTTGAGGATTACAAGCTGCAAGTAGTGAAATATTCAGCTGAAAACTGTAATCGAGCAGCAGAAAGAAAGTTTGGAGTGAGTGAGAAACTTGTAACAACAGGAGGATGCACTATGCAACTTTTCTGGAGGTCACTGGATGGACAAAGTCTGGACTTCAGTGACACTGACACCATCCTGTTGGGATTCAGAAAGACCAGAATAATTCTAACTGGAAGTGATGCTGAGTCTGAAGACAGCGACACAGAAGAGGAAGCGGCGCTCTGTTTACCTCCAGAGGTCATGGAGTTGCTCAGAAGTGACACTGAGAAATGAAGAATCAATTTAGTGATTTGGAGTGAGATGGAGAGTTTGTTAAACTTGTTCTGTTGTTTATGTTCTAGTTTATCTGAAGAACTGTTCATATGTGACGTTAACAATCTGTTGTTCTCTGTTCTATTGTTATTACTAGAACTTGACTTTCAAGATGAAATGTTGGTTCCTGGTCTCTGATTTTATAAAACAAATTTCCCCCAAAAAGTGCCACTTATATATGTTTTTTTCTTCTTCATTGTGCCTTTTTTGGCTGGTGAGACTTATACTCCGGAGTGACTTATAGTCTGAAAAACACAGTACTTTCTTTTATATTCCCATGTGGGCTTATATCTGTGTAATCCCTCAGTCATAATCATCCAGGTTCCATAATGGTCCACGGGTGTGTACTAGTCTATGTGCTCTTACACTTCTTCTGATACAGCTCAAAATCATTCTAAAGTTATTCAGGAAAGGTTCATTCTGTCCTGGGAATGTGACTTGTTCAGTATCAATAACTGCTCAAATAAGTCTCCGGTCTGGATACTAGTTTTAGTATTGATTAGTATCTGATTTTACTTTTGACAACCCCATATATCGCCTGTCCCTAGTCACATCGCCCCCTCTTGTTCTTTATTACTCACAATGACAGCAATCAGCACAGTGTAAGTCAGTGACAAAAGCAATCTCCCTCCGAGCACAAGTCTGGACGTGTAATGATGATACGCTTATTGAAATAGATGGAGATTCATCGGAGCTCTGAGCAGATAGAATAATGCTTCTCCAGAGCGCTTTGGATAAGAGAGGGAGGAGCGTGGAGGGGTTGGTGGCGTTTGCAGTACTGATGTAATAATAACTGAAAAATCATGATATCGTATCGTCAAAAGTCTCAGTAATATCGTGGGCCATCACAATATATCGAATTGCAAATCTCTTGACTAGATTTAGTTTTTTGCAGTGCATTTTTGTGTCATTATATTTTATGATCTGTTATAACGTTGTTTCCTCATCAAAAACATTCCAGGAGTTGCTTTGTTTTATTCTCTCAAACAGAAAACACTCTATTCCACCTTGTGATGTCATGTGGTAATACAGAAAGTGCTCCACTGTGTTTTTAATCTCCATACACCTTCACTAGAATCATTTGGATGATTTCAGATCTGGGATTGTCAATCTCTACCGAAAAAAAACTTGAAAACTACCACTTCAATAACATCACAAAGTAGAACTAATAATAAAAGGTTACTCAAATGTGTGTGTAAATGAAACAAAACAACTCCGAGGCTGTTTTAGAGGAGATAAGAGCATTACGACATGACTTAAAGCTCACAAGCAGGGCTGTAACAAAATAATTTAAGAAAACACACCAAAAAGATACTTTTGGCGATATCGATAGAGCAGCCCCTGACATCAATACTGCATCATCACATTAAAGGCTATGATATATTGATATATCATATCATATCACCCCTACTCATAAGAGTCAATTTTAGGACTTTAGGAATATAGGAGTATAGATATAAAAAAAAATGTACTTTGTTACTTTCTACCATTACTAGGGCTGGGTATAATTCAGAAGTTGCCGATACGATACATACCTCGATACACAGGCCTCGATACAGTGCATTTTTGATTCAATATGATATATTTCAAATCGACTTGATACGATTCAATAAAAAAATTATGTCTAAATCATGGCCGTGATACTAAAAGTCTTTGTTAAACCACTTCTTGTGCAAAGTTCAAATGAAAAAACTATTTAATCATCAAAAAAGTGAATATATCAAATAAAAGAGTTTCCTTCCTCTAAACAAGCAACAAAACTGTAGCTCTGTAACAAAATAATTTAAGAAAATATAACAAAAAATACTTTTGGCGATGTATCGATACAGCAGCCCCCAATATCGATACTGTATCATCACATTAAGCGGTACGATATATCGATATAAAAATATAATCGATATAAATTAATATATAACATTTTGCATAATATAGGACTTTTATGTTAAGTATAGAAACCAAAAAAATGTACTTTTGTACTACTTTCTACCACTACTAGGGCTGGGTATTATTCAGAAGTTGCCGATACGATACATACCTCGATACAGGGATCTTACGATTCAATACGATACAATAAGGTATATTTCAAATTGATTCAATATGGTTCAATAATAAATAAAGGCTAAATCATGGCTGTGATACTAAAAGTCTTTGTTAAATCACTTCTTGTGCAAAGTTCATATGAAACACAAACATTTTAATCATCAAAACAGTGAAAATGTCAAATGTGTCACATAAATGAGTTTCCTTCCACTAAACAAGTAACAAAACTTTAGCACTGTAACAAAATAATTTAGCAAAATATACCAAAAAATACTCTTGCCGATACGTCAGATGAAGGAAAAGAGGTAGAGTGCTTCACTGGGTCATGAAAGAGTAAAAAATTGCAGTGCAGGTGCTCTACGAGGGTTAAAACAGTGGTCTTTAAACAGAAAGCTACCCTTACTGGAAAATGTAAAAGTGGGCAAGGTACAAACCCTTCGTCAGGGCAAAGTCTTGACTTTACCATCTTGCTGGTCGAAACACGTTGGTATCTCTTCATGAAATAAAGGACTTTTAATATACCGTATTTTCCAGGGCTATTATTTGCTCAGGATTATAAGGCGCACTGTCATAGAATGGTCTATTTTCAAACTTTTTTTCACAAATAAACTGCACCGGACTTCAGATTCAGATTCAGAAAACTTTACTGATCCCATAAGGCAATTCATTAGCAGCATCTCAGAGCACACCCAAACACAAACAAACACAAAGTGTGTCAGTCCATTGCCGTCCACCAGTGGAACTCAAAATAAAATACAAATTACAGTGTAAAACTTTCATTTAAAAAAACACAGTTGGAAAACAGTTGGCTGGGTGAGTGGTTTTGTTTGTTTGTGGCGTTCACGGTGACTCTGGGCTTTGTTCAGTTGTGGCGTGTAGGGAGGGTGCTGTCTGGGACCGCTGGATTGTCGGCGTGTTCACAGTGACTCAGTTGTTCAGTTGTGTCTAGAAGTGGCACATTGCACTCGCTTTTTCGCTGCGCTGCGGGTGGTGCGGCTTTGTAGTTTACTGAAGTTGTGCTGGGACACCTGAGTGGATTCGTGTACAGGGCGCTCTAGATTGTGGGGCGCACGGTCGTTTTTTGATGGGGTTGGAGGCTTAAGAGCGCGTCTAATAGCCCGGAAAATACGGTATTCAGTCGGAGTGCCTTGGGTTTGTACCTTGCCCACATTTACACTTTTCGTAAGGGTAACTTTCTGTTTAAAAAATACTCTTGCCGATATTTCGATAGAGCAGCCCACGATATCGATACTGTTTCAGCACGTTAAACAATACGATTACTCGATATTTCAATATTTTTGCATGTCCCTAACCACGACCATTTTTTCACTGACAATCCGCATTCTTACTTACGAGGCCACTGAAACGTTAAAAGCCTGTACTTTACGCGTACTCGTAGCGATATACAAAACTACGCCCGATGCACTCACTTCTCTTGCAGAATGAAAAACTAGTCAAGGCTCGAAGGGCAAGATTTATTCTGACAAGTGTTTTTAAAGGCACTCTATGACTCATCCCCTCTCCCCTTCCTTCGCTCCGCTCCTCTCGGCAGGCGATGAAGTCTAATACGTTTTACCAGCAAATATCCCACACCCATCGCTAATGCTAGTCATCTCTCAGGATCAGTCTAAGCGCCGGTGACACATGCCTCTATCTCTGTGTGGTGTTAGGGGCAGGGAGACGCTTGAAAGATTGGCTCCACACTGAGGACAATGATGAGATGATTAATAAGGGAGATGGAAAAGTTGTAATTTTGTTCCTGGGGGGAAAATGGGTAAAAATAATGTTATGGTTTTCAATATAAAAGCTCATTTTGAAGATTATGTGGGTTCTTTCGGTATTGCTGGGTGGAATGAGGTAATAGATTGTATGAATAAGATGGAAATATGTTCATAATGTGCCGTGGATTTGAGGCAAAGGAGAAATTCAATTTGTCAACTGGACGTTTTGTAGCCGGAGAAAAGAATTGGTTTA